GGACGGAAGCCTGGACTTCTGGTAGCTTTTGGAGTTCTTTTAAAGTGAAGATGCAAAAATATATAGTCTGGCACTGGATTGTACTGTAGTTTCTTTACAGCGCACACAGTAAAAATTTAAAACTGGTATTTTGTTGTTAAGTTCTTCTCGCCTTCTTGGGTGGTAGGGTTGTACAACTGGACACCCCCGACTCGAGCAGCATTAAGTAGCGTGACCCAATGCGGTTAAAATGAGGATGGACCTTCAGCCACCCCAACTATAAGGACAGACCCCCCTAGCTATATGGAATAAGGAGGATAAGAGGAGCTGAAACGATATTTAGGATATTTGAAAGTTTGTGGTGGAACTACAGTGACAGAGAAACACGCGAAAACTCACAGTACAAGATTGAAATATTGGCAACTATCCACAATTAGTTGAATCTGGGAGCGATGGACGTGGCGAACATTCTACCTTGTCCCGCAAAGTCGTCCAAGGTCGTCCAACTCTAATTGTCGTCAAAATTTGATGGTGACTTTATTTTCTAATATACTGTGCATACTTAATACATTGTTATACTGGATAGCCGACTTTTTTTCAGGTTTTCTAAGAGGAATGACCTAGTGGGTTCGGCACGTGCCACACCCAGCTCTAGATATTCACTTTAACCACTGGAATGGCTACAGTTACTTTGGTTTAAACATTACAATGACGATGCTAAGTTTATACGAATATGACATAGGATAATTCTACTACATTAAACGGAACAATACCGTGCAAGGAAGTTCTGTTGAGAAAAGATAGCACTGTTGTGTTATCATGCTTTAACACGTTCTTGGGCGTGTATATCACGTGACTTTCTCATGTCAAATATCTATCGATAGTTAGTCTTAGACGCACATATTATGTATATACATGTACATTTATATAAAGTTTCTCAAGATTTATTTTCTAAAACCAGTTCTCATTCTATAAGTTCAAACTCACACAAGACTAGCATTATAAAACTAAAGTTTTTTTTTTTTTTATTGTTAACGCAACAACAAAATATTCAACTACGAACTTGTTATCAATTGAGAATTTTTGCCCATTTTGCACTACACGCTTATCACAGTCTGGTAACTCCACGACGAGCACAGTTGTCACGCGGTTATTCGTAGCAATCTGTTGATTTTCCCCAGAAAAACAGATCAAAGGTCCATCTTTCAAGTTGAATAAATCACCTTATACAGCTATATACCGGTTAGGCTTAGGATCATCTGACGGCACAGCAAGGTAAAACTATGGTCATAGGTTTAAAATGTAATTATACTAGACTAAGTAATTAAGGCTCACATTTTTTTCGACTTACTACGCTCACTGTCAGACTTCCGACCGAAATAAAATAAGTTTTTATGAACTCAACAAACAAACGAAAAAAGAAAAAAAAAACTGACTTCCAACTAGTTACTTCCAGTGTTGCATAACAATAAATCGTCTGCGCTATCTAAAATTAAACATTGTTATATCTTCTAACCATTCAAGTACCGCTACTGCACGCTAAGCCTCATTTATTAATTGTTAATTATACGTTGTAATATTTAAGAAAGTAATGTATAATTATGGAAGAAAGGTTTTAGAATTCACTTCTCGTACACACACAAAAAAAAAATAATAAAAAAATAGGTATTTAAATATGAATGCCCCGAAACAATTTATTATACCACCTTAAGTTATAAGTTGCGATCAACTGGTGTTTCTCTGGATAAGTTTAACTTTAAAATATAAACAGATGTACAAAGCTATCCGGTAATCCCTGCAGAGCAAATTAAGTGTTATATATAATGTTATTTGAGATCCCGACAACGCAGTTATGACGAAATACCGGGCATAAAGAAAATATTTTCTGGAATTTTTGACTTTTTGGTTTTCTTTATACAAGTTTAACACAAATTTGGAATTTTGCCTAACTCAAGCTCGGCTCCATCTCCTTACCCTTGGAGGGGAGGTGTGGGTGGAGAATTAACTTGGGTGGGCCAGAGCGACAATTTGGGGGTGTACTTGTCCACCCCAGCATCCCCCTAGCGCTGACCCTGGCCTAACTTATTTTTGCAAAATGAAACTGAAGTCTGGTACAGAAATGAAGCCAGTCAAATATTCCATATAAGGCTAGATATCACGACAGTTCTAAAACATGAGTAATGCTGCGACGCCACTCAATCTCGTTCAGATGTCTCGAGCAACCGAAAAACAAACGCAAACAATTCTGTTTCAGCACAGTTTGAGTTGAGGAAAACATATTTATTTTAAATTTCTTCAAAAACGCACGTTTATACAACGTAACGCTTGAATTGGGAGCGCAATATAATCACTGCGATTAACATGTACGTACTTAACATACGGATGTAAAGTGTCGAAATCAACCGCGTGTCAAACTGTCAAGCAAGTATATAGTCCACAACAATATTCCCTTATCACAGAAACGTACAATTATTAGAACTGGTATGTTTGGAAGATTTATGTAAAAGCTACAGTCAGAGATCCAGAACTGTACGTATAAAATATATACAAGCTCTTTAAATTTAATAAACTAAAGATTATGAGGCAACAACTTTGATAGTCCCAACTTATGCCAACAGAGGGCCAAACAGGAGAGCTACCGATATGTTTACTTAGTCAACTTAATTTTTTTAAAACTGACATAAAAAGACGCATCTTTATTAAGCGCTATTTAAGGGTTTCCCCGACAACAAACTGTTCTTTCATGGGCAGTTTAAACATCCTCTACAATCCAAAACAAAGAATGTGAAACTGAGGAACAGGGTGTGGATAATTTGTATGAAGATATTGGCAGAAATGTTTATACATCCGATCGGTTTGAAATTTATTACATATGGGCATAATTGAAGTATCCGATTTAACCCAATATCACACTGTTCCACCTACAAGTCCTAACGTTACTTAATAACGAAATTAATCATTCCATAAACAATAAACCTAAATGTTCATAATGACGTCATGTCATACACTAATTTTCTTCGAAGAGGGGTGTGGGGGCATAATCAGAAAGCAAAACACTTTTGTTATCAGCGGCGGATTAATAATAAGAATCATACCAACGATAGTAAGCAAGGTGCCTTTTACTTCTTATATTACATTTTCTCTATTAACTTCTATGATTAACTTATTAGTTTCCAATACAGACAAATATTTTGGACGTATGTAATCAAATGTTTATACACAACAGTGTTGTAGGAAGGAGTTGCTAAGTGTGTGTGTGGGGGGTGGGGTGCTTGGCTAGACATGCAGATTTTACAATGAGACATTGAAAGTATAAGGAGCTGCCAAAAGCAGCTCTCGTGCTGTCAAAGGCAGCTCAATCTAGAGGGTCAGGGGGCATGCCCCCCATAAATTAATATAATGATAATTTTCAGTTGCTACACAAGTCAGATATGTAAATGTTCGGGTGCTATAGCCCCCTCCCCCCCCGTTCGGATGTCTCTGCGAAAATTGGAATTATTCAAATAGTTTGTGGAAAACTTTTAGTTTTCCAGCGTTATATTTTATTTCAACACGCTAAGCTGACATTACTAAAAACGCTACCTACCATCGAGTACACTAGATTGAGCGATACCAATATTTCGACTCGGGTAAACGCAATCTTGTTAAACAAGTAAAAAACTGGTAACATAAGCACATTTACTTGACCATTGAAAGTAATATAGTTACTCAATTAATTGGTTCATACTGCGATTAACTGTGCACGTTGCCGGTCTGATAACTGGTTAGTTCTGTTATTAAAATTAAGAATAACTTTATTCAGTCCAGTTAGCTTTTCGGAATATTTTTACTACGATCTTGTGTGATGAATAACATGTATATTATTGAACCCAAAACATATTTTTTTTTAACACTAACAGGACCAGATGACGATGACATGAGCAAATTTGACAAAGTCTAAGCAACATTGGAATTTCGTTTGTATTAAACTATAAATTGTATCACTGAACATAACACGAAATTAATATTTTGAAGCATCAACTCACTAAGCTAATTTATGCCGATGTTTGATTAGCAACGAATTGCAAAATTTTCAATTTTATTGAAATCTTTAATTATGATGATAATTATGTAAAACAATATATATATATATATATATATATATAAATATACTATATACGTACTCTCCACTAATGTGATATTACGTAGTCAAGTATCAAATTTATAATACCATGACAAATAATATTTTCATTTTACGCGTTTTTTTTTAAATCTAGCCCATAACTGGATAAATCTACAAATTACACGAGTTGTAAAAATAACATTAACAGACTACATACTTTAGGTATACCTATACTTAAACAAAAATTTAACATAATTTGCTACGAAACATCTGTGCTACGGGAATTTGAAACATAAAGTTACGTACTGATTAGTTCAATATATAAATATTTAAAACAACGCTAGTCTACAGCTACCACAGCACTGGAATTTTGTGAAACAGTGACATACGTAACAGTGAAATTAACCGAATTTAGGTTTAGTAGTAACGACGTATAAGAAAATTTCGAGTAACGTAACAGTCTTTACCAAGAATATCCAAGTAGTTAGACGTTAATATTATTCAATAAAATTTGATATAAGAAATTTGATATATGTAAATTAATTGCTCAACTAAGCCTTTTGTCATTATTCAGATATAAATTATCAAGCCTAACATATAATCCTACCGTTGAGGACGATGTTAGCACTTTTCAGGTCACTAACACAAGGTCGTATAAAACAACTTGGTGCGTTATACTCCACACGTATTTATAAATTTCTTCAGAGTGTCACTGTAATCTCTGTCATGCTTTTAAATGACGGCCAGTATTTCATCATGCATAGGTTTTCCTTATTAGGCAAAACGAGCACGCCTACTTTATAGTCACGTGCTTCGCAACAGTCAAATCAAAAGTGTCCGGTTTCTTTATTTATATGTGTAATTGTAGACTTTGTAACTTTCTCAAAACAGTAAGAACAAAATTGAATAATTCATGTGAGTTACACTCACTCAATTATATATATAAATGTCTATGGTCGTATCGTATTATGGTCATCACTTTAGGTATCTGCGTTAAAAAAATGAGGAGACGAACTGATGAACACTTTTACAACCACACACACACACACTTGAAAATACAGGGCGTGAAATTTCAAATGAACAGTTTAAACAAGTTTTCCGAGATAGATTTCACAGATTAAACTAGATGCTTCTAGTATGAGGTCACATCGCGATAACAGTAGAAACAACACGAAAATATATAATATTTACCAACCAAAGAGCTTAAAATAAAAGGGTTCACATACTTGAGTAGGAAAGTACGTAATATTAATCCCTTCCCTCATTTTGGCCTTCGTCTTATCGAATTAGGGGTCGGCCGGTATTTTTTTTAAGCCAAGAATATTGATACTCGGGTGGACAGCCCAGTCGACAACCGTATATGACGAGTATGTTCTGTGTTGAGGATTCGAACTCACAACCCTCGGATTGTGAGTCGAGCGTCCTAACCACCAGGCCCCATAATACTAATTGAGAAATTAAGTGAGAAATTATAAAATAACCAAAGGACGCCTTCGATGGTTTTTGTTGAACTGTTGGTTATACCACATCTAAAAACTGATGAGACTGTTTGTTTGTTTTATAGAAAAATCACATTGGGCTATCTACTGTGTCCACTGCAGGTATCTAACTCCGGATTTTAGCCTGTAAACTTACCGTTGTCTCCCCGGGAAACGATTGATGTGTCCAATTAAAATGTTTGTTTATTTATTTTTAGTTTAGAGCAAAGCATCACATTGGGCTATCTACTGGGTTCACCGCAGGTATCTAACTCCGGATTTTAGCCTGTAAACTTACCGTTGTCTCCCCGGGAAACGATTGATGTGTCCAATTAAAAATGTTTGTTTATTTATTTTTATTTTAGAGCAAAGCATCACTGGGCTATCTACTGTGTCCACCGCAGGTATCTAACTCCGGATTTTAGCCTGTAAACCTACCGGGTTCACTGCAAAGGGAATCGAACCCATTTTTATAGTGGGGGACAAATTAAAAAGCGAGTATAACAACATATCAAACATAATTCTTCTGGACTGCCGACGAGGCCTTTTGCCCAACACCAGAATTCATCAGGAAATGCGAACAGGTATAGTAGTGGGTAAGGTGCTATTTAACTTATAAAGTTCCACGACAAAGAACTATTATAATGTCAGCTAGATTAATTACTCTGGTGAAGTACAATATTTATCTATTTTTATGAGTAATTTACAAATTAGAAATTAGGGTAACTGCATAATACATAATAACATAATATTATGCAGTTATTTATTAGGATTATTAACTTTTATTGAAGTAAATTTACTCATTATTCGAAAGAGCGATCCAGTAAGTTTGTGCTATTGTTCTCGGAACGGTTTGGTTTGAATTTTGCGCAAAGCTACACGAGGGCTATCTGCGTTAGCCATCCCTATTTTATCAGTAAAAGGCTAGAGAGAAGGCAGCTAGGCATCACCATCCACCGCCAACTCTTGAGCTACTCTTTTACCAAAAATAGTGGGATTGACCGCAACATTATAGCGCCCCCATGGCTGAAAGGGCGAGCATGTTTGGTGGGACGGGGATTCGAACCCGCGACCATCAGATTCCGAGTCACCCGGAACGGAGAGGGTTAAGCAACCATAGCGTCTGCGGGGGGGGGGGACTGTGCTAGTAATTCTAAGAAAATTCTAAGGTGATAACACCTGTTGTGGTGCGAACATACACTAGGAAAAGCCC